CAGGACGCTGGTGCTCAGTGTGCAGTAATTACTGTCACACTGGCGGGGGAAAGGGAGGGAGATGAAAACCCCCTTAATCTGCTCCTTTCCCAAGGGACAAGGCAAGGCAAATTCTTCCAGCTTTGTGCAATCAAATGCAGAAGCTGAGCAAACACAAGAACCTCCTTTTTCTTTGAATGTCACTGATTTGGCATCCTCCTATCCATTTTTGCCTGCCTTTGCTCTATGACTGGGGACATGCAACTTGCTGAGGGCTCAGCAAACATAGTGGCATGCAGAGACTCTGCTGCAGGTGACCATTTAGTCAGGCTGAATAGAACCTATAACAACGGGCTGAATTGGATTAGCTGCGTTCAGGGCCTGAGCAGGGACTGCCCCTTCCTGCTTTTCTCCTCGGCCATTCCCTGGGGATTGTGCTGTTCCCTGTTGGCTGACTCCCTTCCTCAATCTGCTTTAATATCTGTCACCATGCAATAGATGTGTCAGCTCAGGATGAACAGATAACCCTGAATCTCTCTCTACTGCCCTACCTATCTCCAATTTTTTGCTCTTTCCCTACTGCTTCCTGCCTCTGCTTTGTCTCCCTCATAGCTCACAGACACCCCACACTTCTCCCCTAACTCTCCCTATGCTGGGTGCATTCCCTCCCTTTGCTACTTCCTCCACTCAGTACTGCTAGTTTTTCATTCTTCTCCACAGGTCTACGGCTCCCTCCTCTTCCCGCTTCACCTGCAGGAACCTCCATGCATGGAGCAACCTCCAGCATCCCATAATCACCAGAATTACTGGTCATGGTCCTCTCACCCACCTTTCCTGTGATTAAAAGACCCTGAAAAACATGGGGGTACTGCTCAACCTCTGGTGCTTCGTGCCGTGCCACAACCTGCTGCAATTTTTTGGCAGTCTCTTCACATCACAGACTGTTTGCAAACTCTGCCCACTAATGAAGGGTCCTGTATGTTGCTCTGGCAGGACATATTACTCTCTTTAACATTGACTGACACGAGGACAGATGCGCTGTCCTGAGGCTCTGATAACAGGATTTCAAGAGATGCTTTCCCTTAATCTGTCAAAAAAAATATTTCATCAAATAACGGCATGGCTAAACCAACCTGCCTTCAATTCTAACCCTGCATTTGGTGTTTAATGAAGAAAGCACTCAGTCTGCTGAGTCACTGTACATGAAGACATGCTGTGAAAGATGCTTTGCAATACATCTAGCTACTCTTACTCCTAATTACATAAATTTGACAGGTTAGTCATTACATTACTGAAGAGAAAAAGAAAACACATTTTAAGTGGAGAAAAACAAACCTTTGTAACTTGAAGTTCCTTGCAAGCCAAACACGATGGACTGTGCTGAAGTGCTAGTGTCCAGAGACGTCGCAAAGCTTCTCTACGCTTCTCCAGCGCTTCCTCCCAGGGCTGACCAGGGGTTTCCGCAAGCAAATCAAACGCTGCCAGTCTCATATTTCAGTGCAAGTCAAATACATCCTGTGCTTTATCGTGGGGTCCAATCCAAAGCGTTCCACATCAGCCCACCTCAGAGTGAGTTTCTGAAGATTACACTAACACGCCTCCTTTACAGCACACATCTTGCATGACATGAAAATGTTTGCCTTGACAAGAGCTACGGATCTGAGCCTCCGCGCTTAATAATTCCAGTTTATTCACTGCAGAAGCTCTTTGCGCGTGTGCACGAGGAAGGATAAGCAAGTGCAGCAAGAGCACATTAAAGCACGGTGGCTCGGAGGCTGGAAGTGCTGAGCTCATTTATCCACACTGATATATATGAAAATAAACAGATTTATATTTTTATGCTTATGTAAATAATGGGACGGCTGATATAAGACTCTTCCTTACACCGTATCTATAACAGCTTTTTACTCCCAAACCCGGGCCCATTCCCCCCCATATTTGCCTCTGCACGACGCGGCCGCCGCAGGAGCCCCGAGGCCGCGCAGGCCCCGGCTCCCCGCGCTCCCGACGCGCCGTGTCAAAGGAGGCCATTGACGCTGCCTCCATAACGCAGCCATTAGCGGCACGACGCGCAGACCGATCAATCGACGGCAGCACAACGGCCAGATTCAGAGGATTCCAAAATTGAGGTCGGCCTCTATAACTCTTAGGCAGATGTCAAGAGAGAGGCACACGCATATATAGAGGAAGGCAAATTTTAACTGTGCAAACCTAAAACTGTCACTTGCGGTGACGGATTGGATGCGTTTTGGCAAGAACTGCTATTTCTTCCTTCATTTCCACCCCTTGCCTCAGCACTGGCGTAGGGTGCCACCAGTCTGACGGTCTGATGTTACCTTTCCCTTAACAGTCAGCCTTCAAATGAGCCCTGCAAATGGGGGGCCCTGGGCATATTCCCCTGCTGCAGAATACCTCTCCCTCGGGATGACCCATTTTGAGAGGAAACTCCAGCTCCTGGTTGGTGAGGTGCTTACTCGGGTCAGTGCCCACAGCACAACTGAACACTCGTCACAAGGCACCAGGCCACAGAAAAGGGCCTGTTTATCTTAGTGCTTCGCTTCCACTGAGCTTGTGTTGCTGCGATTTGCAGACTTTGACACGAAGGCAGAGAAGCCACAGATTTTCCTAGCATACAGTACTGGACTTGCACCAGTGAAAATAAAATCCCTGTAAATCCACTTGAAACCACAGTTTGCCTTGATTATCTCAGCTGACCTTGACTTCCCATGCATCCTACCAAAAAGCCCTTTTGCACTCAATACGCGCTGCCGTTGCAATGTACAATGAAACATGGCACAAACCACCTGATTTCAGATCCAACTCTGAATCAAACACCCCAAATCCACCCCCAAACTTCCTGCCTCATGACAAGGCACTGAGCACATCCCAGCATAACCCTGGCAATGCAAGCCCCTTCCCTTCCTGTCACCACATTCACTTGTTGACAAATTCTTCCTAGTGGCCTTTTTTTAAAAGAGAAATGATCAAAAATATATCTTAAGTACTCCAAGGTATCTTACATTACATTAAAGAGCATGAATTAGATATGGATTAACTAGGATAAACTGAGTGATTCAGCAGTGTTTTCTCTTACTGCCAGTCGTGGCCTGGGTGGCACAGAGGCGCCAACAGAACAGGTGAAAGGGAAGCGACTCCGACACAGGGCTGGCCAGGAGCTGCCCCTGCGCTGGGTCAAGCCCTTGGGACCATCTCCCTCCACAGGGCAGTAGGTGCTGTGCCAGGGCCCCGGCTGCAGCCCCTGGCCGAGGCTCCTGCTAAGTCAGAGCTCAGCACCTGGATGGGAGTTCCTGGAGAACTAGAGTGCAGTGGCAAAGGCAGGCAGCTTCCCAGAGCTTCCTGATGTCCAGCCACGGACTGAGATGCCACACAATAAGCCAGAGAAGTCTTGCTAGCAAGGAGCATATGATACTGACAGTCAGTCCCCACACCAGACAATGTGAAACCTATATAAGCAGTGGGAAGGAGGCCACCAAGTGCTGACTGACTGAACTAACCCCACAGAGCTCAAGAGCATCCCTGCTCCCCACGCCACGGTGCTTCCCCACCCCAGGCCTCTCCTCGACACGCTGCCCCACTTGACCTGCTCTGCTGCCCACCCACTCCGCTTGCCTCAGGGGCAACCTGGTGCTGCCACATCGGCTCGAGGGCACCATGAGGCTCCTGCCCCTGGTCACCCACTGATGCTTTGGGTAAGCCTGAGCAGGCTTGCTCAAGCCCATGTCAAAAATCTGTGAAAAAGGAGAGAAACGAACCTAGTTTTTCCCAAGCCCACACCTAAGAGCTGCAGCATCCTACCTCAGGGAGCGCTGTTTGTGCTTGCTGGCTGGCTAAGCACACAAGACAGGCAGGTTACAGCACAGAAAACATCTTGTCCTCCTCCTCCAAAACCTTCATCAAAAATGAATTCACCAGAATGCTTGAAAAGATTTCCCTTACCTTTCTCTTTCATGTCTTCGCTATCCACAGGAAGAAAGTTTTAAAATCTACATCTATTTACTTCTAGCAAATGTATCCATTTGTAGTACAATCCCTTATGAAATCACTTTAGGGCCTGAGAGACTTAAAATTCTCCAGCTGCTGAGAAATTATGGATAGCATCTCGAAGTGTTGTCAACAGCCAACAAACATTGCTAGAAGGATCTCCTTAGCATGCATGGATGGATGCATCAAGGGCAGTACTGTCTGTACAAGAGAAATTCCTCTTGTACTATGCATTTGGGGTTTAAAATGGGTAGTCTGTACAGAGAAAATTAGCATCTACGTCTAAAACAAGAAACTTGCTTTGCATATCTCATTCTGACATGATTGCACTTTTTTTCCAAACAAGTCAATGCCTAAAATTCTAGTGTAGTTTATAAACCAAAAAAAAAAAAAAAAAAACCAACAAAAAAGTGAGTTTGTATAGCAAAATAAGCGCAGGCAATACTAAGTAAGCACTGACACTGAATTGAGGCATCCTTGGTCAGGCCAAGCAGCACTTTATTCTGCAAATAACTGCTGGGTTTCAAGAAGGCATTATTATTGTGAGAAATGGCAGCAGAATCTGACCTTGACACACACAGACACAAGGAGAGAAGGGGACTCTGCACACACAGCAACTGCACGTGGTTTCCCACCTCGTCCTCCCAGTCCCAAGTAAGCGACCAGTTCCTCTGCACCATGTTTCTCTCAACCCCAGTGAAGTGAACCATCTACAACCCTAGGCCATCCTCACACATTTCCAAAAGTTTTCTCAGAGCATGCCCCAGAAGCCTGAATCAGGATCACAGGCTGGCCTGCAGTTAAACACATCCCTTGCTGTGAAGAGTTAGTGCTCTCCAGAGCTGCACGTGCAGCTCACCTGCCCATGTCAGCACTGCCCTGTGTCCTGGCAGGTCACCAAATGAGCCTCGCTGGCTGCTGTCTCAGTCAGCAAATGTTTTACCACAGGGACACACAATTCAGTGGTCTGCAGAGAAATGTGTTTCAAGGGCTGCCCCTGGCGAGGCTGGGTGCATTACCTGCAGTCTCCCTGTCCCCTGTCGATAGCTCCCCGTTGATGCCGTTCTCTTTGGTTCGAGAGTAGGTGCCCTGCTGCTCCTCGTCCTCGCGGAAGGGAAATCCATTGGCGCTTCGGACCAGCCCGGCACCCGCAGCGCCTTGGTCCTTGAGCTCAGGGGAGTGTGGGTGCGAAGAAGCCTCCGTGAGCTGGCTTGACGTCCAGTGCGGTGACTTGGCCTCGTCTTTTCTCTCCTCCGCCATTTCTCCTCTCCTTCAGCGCCGGCCCTGTAACGACAAGAGCAGGGAGATGAGGGCGGGCGGGCAACAGTGGCCCTGCCTTGCGGCACCCACACACTGCCGGGCAACTCCACCTGCACCTGAGAGAAGGTTTAAACAGCACAATGTCTCTGCTCCTCTGTCCCAGGCACGAGCCTGGGACACTTGGAAACCAAATCAGACCACACTAGTAAAAATTATGGGTCAAATGCTGTATGATGCCTGCATGCCTCACCATTATTAACACTAGTTTCTTGAAGGTTGCCCTTTTGTTAATCTGATTTTAACTCGTTAATGGCAGTTAAATGTAGATCTGCTTAATAAGAAGTGAATCGTTCTTCATACTGACATTGTCCAGGGGTGATAAGGGGGCAGAATGCAAAAAATTGCTTAAACAAGTGAAGCTGGTATCACAAATCCATCAGGGCAGCTGCAAAGAGCAGGGTCAGTCCTGAACCAGGCCTGTCGTGCAGAGGGTGCAGAAGGAAAAGACAATCCGTCATCTGAGGGTTTGCAATCTGCTGCTAGCCACAAGAGCAACATAAGAACATACACTGGGTTCCTGAACATATGTGCTATTTGACCCTGTTTATACCCCTTCTTATTTGCTATTTTGTGAACATTCACACTCATCCCCTTTTGTCCAAAAACAACCCATGGGGAACAGTTGTTCTTCATGCAAGCACTTGCATTCTCTTATGACTATTGGTATTTATACATAAACAGAACTAATCACTGTTTGCGACTTCACATGTCTTTTACTCCTGTTAATAAGCTCTTACTTGTCCAAGCCAGGAAAAGAAGCCACTAGAGAAGTCACAGGCTTTGGCGATGCCTTGCACAAAGCTCCAGGAGTAGCTCCTCCATTTGCAAGCCTAGTAAAACAATACCTTGTAATCTATGTTTTGATGATAAGGAAACCTTGGCAGGGAGGAAATAAAGGCTTGATTTAAGCTGGTGACATGAAAGGGAAAACCAGCAGGCCTTTTCTGAACGTCACATTCAAGCGGCATTCAAGAACAGAGTCAATTCACTATGTATGGGAAAGGCTGAGGGCCTAGAAGGCCAAAGAGGAGGAGTCCAAGTGGGCCGAACCTCCGTGCCCGCCTGCCCATCCTCTCCCCTCACAGTGGGACTGGGCTGGCCGGGAAGCAGCTCCGCAGGCACCAGGAGAGCTGGACTCGTATCCGCCAAGGGCCCTTGGTCCCCACGCAGACGCCCCCTCATTCCCGCCAGGCTCTTGAGGAAGGAGATTCACATCCGCACAAAGGACGGTGCCACACAAGGCCTCTGTGCAAGGAACAGAAGTGCTTTCAGCCTTAAAAATAAATACAGTGGGCAGGCTTCAATGAGGGCTGTGTGTATCTGGAGGCAGGATCTGGCTCGGCATTTATAATAGATGGTTGCGGAGCCAAACATGGATGAATTCACTCTCGACCCTCGTATTCATCAAGTGCTCTCGCAGTTTATAACGCGAGGAGAAACACTGCGAGTTGGGGCACAGGGCAGCCTTGTCCCTGGCCCAATTCAGGGGCACCCATCAGGGCACCCTGGCTCAACCCATCAGGGCACCAGCTTCTCATATAAATACTTTATAAATAAAGTAAATAAAGGATAAAACTAAGAGGGTTTTATCGACACAGAAATATGAACTACAGGCAAGAATTATGGCACTATTTGTAACAGCATTACACAGACCAGGAGTCGTTTTGATAGGATAGGGCAAGGCCCTGCCTAGGAAACAGAGTTGTTTTCCTCTTTCCTATTTCTTTGCATAAACAGGATTGTCATTTCTGTCACCCCGCCGGACGGGAGCTCCAGCGCCGCTGCCGACGACGCGGCAGCCAAGAGCCACTTCCCAGGCCCTCAGCTCACGTCCTGCTGCCCGCGACAGCGCGACGGGGCCAACGCAGACGTCCTGCTTTCTCCACCAATAATGAGGGTAAAAACTGACTGCCCATCCTTTCCAGACGTTTAGGAGCTGCATAGAGACAGTAAATGTTTAAATAACTTGGAATTAACAAGGAGAGACAAGTCACATGGGGGATGCACAGGCCGACTTGGCAGTTACCGCCTCCTTTCACAGGCACTGGATATATATTTCTTAACCCATATGCTCTCTTCTGTGACATCTGCTCTTGCTGCCGTGGCTTGAACCAAGCCCGAGTGCTCTGAACTCAACACACAAAACACTCGCAGTATGTTTTGCAAGTTCATCTTATAGAACAATCTTCACAGCCTCCTAAAGCTGCTTCTCTGCAGCTTGTACAACTTTGTAGGGTGTGATCTAACTCATGCTGACAAATAACACAGAAAACAAAGCTTTAGTTCATGCCTGCGTACCAATAATTGTGATGATGAGTCTGAATACAAAGCATCAGGCACTGTGGGTGAAAAGGTCTCAAGAGAATTTGCCAGTCAACTTCTTGACTTACCGACACTCATGCTCACAAGCGTCAAAGCAAGTGGGCTGGTATCAGGCAGGAACAAAAACAAGAGGCAGGAGACAGAAGATGGAAAATCTGGATGGACAATTTCCAATAATCTCCTGTCACCTCTCATATGCCACACACAAATCCTACTGGTGGCTGTCTCAGAAAGAAGGAATCTCCAAATATTAGAAAATAAGAGCTCATTTCAGATGCAACAAGCACATGAAGGGCTTTGCAGCCGCATTTTACCCTTTCATTTCACTTTGACATGGATCTTCTCTCCAACTAATTTAATTTTTCAGATGTGAATGGTCTACATCACACTCATCAAAAAGAATCACCACAACATAACAGAAATAGAGAGAAAGCTTAATGGCATCTGACAGGAATCATGTTAGCTTCCATCTTGCTTAAAATGGTTGGTCATGGTTCATGAGACACTAGGTGACTAACAAAATACACCAGTTGATCCTAAACACCCAAGTACCACAATTCTAGCAAAACAGTGTATTATTAGACAGAATTATGCATCTCAGCACAAGCCACTCTAAATAACACAGGACAAAGATTTCTCTGGCAATTTACAGCAAACACCCTGTATTTCTTCCTTGCTCACTACTGAAGTTACTAGTTTGCAGCTAAATGCCTCTAGCTAGACAGTGCAAAACAAAATGTTCTTTTAAATACAACCTCCCCTCTCTTAAAAACACAGGTAACACTCATCTGCTCACATGTTATAAGGCTTTGTTATTCCTACGTTGCAAAAAGTCACTTTTTTTTTTTTTTTTTTTTTTTTTTTTCAAAATTTTTTCTTTTTTATTTTTTTGATTGTACCTAGGATTCTAAAATGGCTGAAAAATTACAAAACGCTTTCACTGTGAGGAGGGAGATCTGTCGTGGAAGGCCTCGCTGCTCCGTACAGAGGGGAAGGCCTGCATGGAGCAGCACGACGTGACACGAGACATTCAGAAGCCTCAAGCTGGGCTCCTGGGCTCTTGCATACATTGCCACAACAGCCTGGAGCCGCGCTGGCCAACGCTAACACAACGGCACGAGCTTCGTCCTGCTCCATCTCTCTTGCATCTCTGGGAACGGACAGAAGGGGAGAAAAGAAAAAAGTGTCTTTGTGCAGTGAATAAGGAGCATATGCACAAGCACAGTGCTCTTGCTCCTTCCTGGGAGCAGAAGGGAGACCTGCTTGCATCTCCGTTGATGGTAGCAAGTCCACTCTGCTGCAGGAGTTTAGGAACAATATATAAGGAGGAGCCTTTCAGCTGACAGAGCTCCTCCTTCCCGGCACATTTACTAATTTCTCCAGGCACCTGCAGAGCCAAGTGCCACCAAGCCGACATGTCATGGGATGCGCTGCCCCTTTGCAGTAGTCAGGGGCTGCCCCATCCCCATGAATGGGAACTTGGGAAATACACTCAGATTCCCAAAATCTAAAACTGGGTGCAGCTCTCTCTCGGTTGTGATATGCTAGTAATAGCAGCCTCTGCTTTCAAAACCATCACCTTGTTTAGGGTTCTGTTCAACTTTTGCAAAATTGGAAAATCTCTGCTACCCATTCCCATGCCAACACCACTCCCTTTTGGACCGACAGTTCCCATGCACAACATGGTGTTTTCTCCCCACTATTCCTCCATCCTTCCCGCACACACACACACATCTCTCAGTGCCCGTCACCTCTCCCTGCAGCAGAGAGGAGAGGCCCTTGAGCTGGGGAAGGAGGCGGTAGCCATAACAACAGCACCATGACAACCCTACCTGATATCTGCAGTGTGAAACATGGCAAAAATCAGCATCGATAAATTCAGCCCCTGCTACGGACGGCAGCAGCATTAAAGACGCAACATCAGCCTGTAAAGGAGCAAACACCAAGGAAGAGCAGCCTCTCCAGCCTAAAACATGCGCAATCCTTCAGATCCTGCAGTGATTTTAAGCAGTCCTGATTAAGAGGAGAGTGCTGATCATCTCCCGAGCAGAAATGGAGGTGGCCGCCACTGCTGCATCCTACCTGAGCTCTGCCTCCGTTCGTGCTTTTCGGAGCCACGGATGCGCTGCAGGAGCCGCCGGGAAGGCGCGAGTGTCTCCTGGCTGCAGGAGCCTCCCAGATTTCTGAGAGGAGTCTCTGGTTTCCAGGAGACTCGGGGAAAGCGGCTCTGACTAAGGATGGGAGCTGGTGCTCTCAGGGGAGCACCTCTGGGTCAGACACGCGCCGTGGGGTTTTCTGCAGAGCAGTTCCACACGGGCATCGGGAGCCCACCCTGGGCAGGGGGAAAGCAGGTTGCAAGGGGCTCATCCGAAACACAGGGCTCCGTGTGTCGCAGCCAGCGCCAGCTGCTCCCGGGACCGCCTTCACCATCCTGAGCAGCCAAGGGACCCAAATAACAGCTGTGGTGAAACTGGCTTCTCTACCCTCACTATGCAAGGTACCGAGGGCAGGAGAAACACACAAATCACCACCAGCTCTAAGTGCTGCGTGCGGGGAGCCCATGGTCATGTCGGTGCTGTCGGAGAGGACAGACTCATTGTGGGATCTCCGAGATCTCCTTTGGAGGCATCCTGCCAACTGCT